TTTAAAGACAGCTTCATGCAAGTAGGTCAGGGAAGACTAATGGATTTTCTTTAGACAGTAATACAGGCCCTGACCCAAAGAAGCATGAGCCTAACACAGACAGCTGTGGGACAAGAATAGTATGGCACACACAGAAGAGGATCAGGGCACCTGAAAAAACATCCAGGCCAGAGCAGAGCAGAGCAGATTATTCTGTTAGGCACACTGGCTAAGGGTTTGCAACTGTCCTTAGTGAGGAAGAACTGCAAATGATGATGAGGAGTCCACCATACATCCTTGTAGCTTACTGCACATATATATATTCAGTATAGCATGAAACTACACACACGGCTCTCATGACCCTCAAAGGATTCAGTTCATCTTTTGTTGGCTTCTTAAAATCCCAAATTAAAAATCTCTCTGGTTGACTGATGTAGGTAAAATTCAAGGTGGACAAAATTAAGGACTTTCAGAAAGCCTGTTCCATCCACATGTTTAAGACATCACAGTTAGCTAGAACAAGTGGCTCCTGGCCAGCTGGTAGAATTTTGATGCCATAAGAACCACCAGCTGGCTATTAAGTTTGCTTTCTTTCACTTCAATGGGATTATGACATCAGATATAAAGCAGCCAATCACCTCCTTGCTTCTTTCTTGCCTTGCTTGCTTATTTTCTTTCACTTCTTTCTCTTTTTGTTAACAATTCAATTTAACAAACTTTTATAGAGAGCCTAGAATGTGACAGCTGCTGTGCTGAGGATATAAAGCTAAGTAAGCCTCTATCCTTTTCTTCAAGAAGCTCACAAGCTTATATAGGAGACAGACAAATAAGTATAATATAGTGTGATGATTACAACAGTATCAACATGTTCAAAAGTTGAAGAGAGAAAGCATAAAGAAGACAGCGATGAGCTCCGAGGTGGTGGGGGAGTCAGGAGATTTTTGTCAGTTTCAGCTGGGTTTAAATTTATTAAAAGTGCAATTACAGGGAAACCGCTTGTTTATTTCCTGGAAGTCAGGTATATAAGTTATTCTAGCAAGCCTCCAGAATAAACTGTACTCAAGACAGACTAATGTTCTCAGAATCAAGGCTTGACCCAAACTGAACTGTGAACCAAAAATTGAAACAAAGGGCAAGATTTGCTCAACCTGAACCACAACCAGTATGTTAAAAATAAACAAAAACAAGCAGCATAAGAGAATGTCAGAAGTGCAAGAGATCTTAGAGTTCATCTAGTCCATGTTTTCATTATATAGATGGGAAAAATGAGGCTCAGAGTGATTAAAGACATATAAAGTTATGAGAAACCACTAACTGGCCGAGTGTGAGATAAAGCAAGAGTGTCCACGTTCAAGTTTATTATTGCTTCACTTCTGATAGGGTACTGCAAAAGAAAGGTTTGATTTTTATGTTTTCTTTCCAAATAATTGTCTAGTAGAGAATATCCTAAAATAATAAAATTGGGACAAAATTAGTGCATCAAAATATTCTCCAGTAGAACATTTGTTTATCTTTTTTCTTTCACATATTTAAAAAGGAAGGCTTATCAACTTTTTAAATAGAATCTCAACCTTGTTGACTGCATGCTTGTAATTTGAAGCATATGGATTCTTCTTTAATTAGCAACATAGACTATTTGCACTCCAGGCTCTAGCTTTCTCTTAAATTGATTGCTATCCAGCACCCATCAAAACCTCTGCAAAGAACATCATCATTAAGGGCTCTTATGAGGATGTCCATTTATTCCTACAGGTATGGAATTTCTAAGCTTATATCAGATAACATCACTAAAGAACTAAGAAATTGGAAGTCAATTGCTTGGCCCTCTCTTTGCTGATGTGTGTTCTAGTGTTACTCCCTTGGCAGTGATCAAAGATGACTACAAGAAACAATCATATCAAGATTTTACCTTGGGGGCCGGCCCCCGAGTGGTTAAGTTTGCCTGCTCCGCTTCAGCGGCCCAGGCTTTCACCGGTTTGGATCCTGAGCACAGACATGGCACCACTCATCAGGCCATGCTGAGGCGGCATCCCACATGCCACAACTAGAAGGACCCACAACTAAAATATGCAACTATGTACTGGGGGGATTTGGGGAGAAAAAGCAGAAAAAATAAAAAGAATATTGGCAACAGTTGTTAGCTCAGGTGCCAATCTTCAAAAAAAAAAGTTCTTCCTATATTTTCTAAAAAAAAGATGGAAGTTATTAAAGATACCTTCATTTGAGTTGTTCTATACTCTTTGGAAAAGGATAAACATACTTTACAGTTGGTACCAGAAAAATGCATTTCCATTTAAAGAACTGGTGGGTTTACTTTTAAAATAAAAAAACGATGATCATAAAACTCATTTTCCTTTCTGCCTTGGCTTCCACAAAGTCCAGAAATAAATGTTAAATGAGCTCAATCTTAGTACATAAGCTTAAATTTTAGGCTTATTTGTTTTTTTCTATTAAAAAAGTATTTTTTATTTAACAACGATATTTCCTATGTGTCTTTCACTGTAAGCCATCTCAGATCCTTTTTTGGAAGTAGTGGGGAGGAAATAATGAATAAATATGTAAAGCATTTCATTTGTTTTGAGTCATTGAGGGCTAGGCTTCTTTGTTACTAATAAACACAAATTTCCTGCTATGCACAATACATGCTCCAGAGTTCTATGAAACCAAGAGGTATGTGAAATGATTTAAGGCCTTAAGGATCTTGAATCTAGTTGTGAGGCTACAGCATTGTACAGATAAATGACATCAGTAGCATATTCTAAGGTGATTCGAAGATCTATTCGGTCCTAAGACTCTGTAAGTCTAATTATTAAATTAGTAATATGGATATTTGGTCAAAGTGTATTCTGTTTGGAGTCAGCTTAAACATTGATGTTTTGGCTAACATTTTTCTGAGGGCAGTAAAGTTTTTGAGTAACTTTGTTTCTGAATTAAGTTTTCACAAAAGCAATTCATGTTCACGGTAGAAATCTGGAGAATCAGAAAACTATAAAGGAACAAATTAAAATCATAACTTGGGTTCATATTAGAGAATATAACACAATATATATAATTTAGTGTCCTGCTTTTATCACTTCATGTTAGATGGTGAGAATTCCTAGATAACAGATATCCTTCAATAACAAGATTTCTATTGTGCAACATTTCATTGAATGATTTGCTCAACCATTACCCTATTGTTGGAGGTTTAGATGGTTTCCAACCTAGTTTTCTCTATTAAATAAAGTAATGGTGATCACAGCATTATCAAGCACTTACTAGAGTTTATGCCAAACACCATGCTGAGTACTTTACATGAATTCTTATTGAGTCTCATAATACTGCTACGAAGTAAGAACAATTGTGTCTCTTTTACAGATGATGAAACCAGGGATTAGAGGCTCATTAAGGTGCCCACAGCCACGAAGAGGATTTAACCCCTAATCTGACATAAACAAATATTCCAACTTGTTTTTGTTATGAATAAGTAAATAGTACTGTTTAAAGATTCCAATTGCCTATTGAAATAGGCAATTATTGACTCCAAATTAAGAAATCTGTGACGTTTTTCTCCATTCTCTTCTTTCTTCTTTATATTTTTTAAAGGACAAAAGTGTCTAATGAATACTTAGTGGATTTTTTTGGGTATATGTCTTTTTACTTTAGTAATTTTTATTCTACTATGATAAAATAACATGTGTATGTACTCTTATAGTCCTTACTTTTTCCTTTCTTTTTATTGAGATATAATGGGCGTATAACATTATCTTTGTTTCAGGTGTACAACATAATGATTCGATATTTGTATATATTGTGAAATGACCACTACGATAAGTGTATTAACATCTACCACCACACATAGTTACAACTCTTTTCTTTCTTGTGATGAAGAGTCCTTATTTTGTGGTCTACAGAAAATAGTAGGAACACAGTCTTCAGAAATGAGCCTCTCATTTTTATTAGAGGACAGTAAAACCACTGTAATTAAGAGAAATAAAAACGAGGTGGTGAAAATTCTCAAGTGTACAGTACTTGAATGTATGCGGTAGTTGTATATTTTTAAGTACCTAAAGAAGTGGAACTGAATTAAACTAGTTAGCTAGCTAAGGCCCTGCTCCACCCCTAGTGTTTTAGTGAATAGATAAGGATGATTTGCAATCGGCATATCATTTGATGGCATATAAAATAAGGGCTTCTAAGGTGTTTAATGATGGTTGAAATGGCTTCATTTCTTAAGTAGTTCAAACTATCACTGTGGCTTAATACACCCCTCTGAAATAATGCCAAACCGGGTTTGAACTTTCACAAAGTCTCAAAGAATTCAGAATTAAACGAAAGTTTATAGTGCTTAATGATTCTAGAAATATACCAAAGCTTGCCTAAACCTGAGGGGTTAACTTTAAACTACGAACATCCTGGAGCTAAAATCTATTGATTTAGGCACTCACCCAGACGGCCAAGGAAGAAAGCAAAAGATAGAAGCAGGAAGAATTGAAATTTAGTTAACGTAAGTTTCATCCAGGTAAGCCCTAGGTATTACAAATGCAGAATCAACGTCCTGAGAAGTGAAATTAAGGAAGGAGCCAAACAAGTGTTTTCCTAGGAGCCTAACCAAAAACGTCTATGCAGAAATACCCTTTACTTTTTTAGGCGAGAAGCCTCCAGCAGGCCCCCATCCCACACTGCGGGCGGGTCTCGGTGCATCAAGGGATCACGCGGCCGCCATCTGCAATCTTGGCGTCCTCGAGCTCCCGAGGTCCTGGGTCTCAGTGGCATAGGGCGCCCTCCTCCAAAGCCACTAGCAGCAGCAGTAGCAACAGCAGCAGGAGGAAGAGCAGCAGCAGCAGGAGCAGCGACATGGCGCGCCCTGGCAGGTGCCCAGAACAACTGCAGGCGGCGGGAGCGCGGCTGGGACCAAAGTGGGTGGAGGGCGCAGTGGGGGCTGGGCGGGGACGCGGGTGTTGCCAAGTTGCTGGCTGCGCGCGTCCTTAGCATCCGCCCGCCCACGTCAAAGTTTGTTTAACAATCGCCCGGGTATTTATGGCTGGGGCTCCGGGCGGCCGCCGGGGAGCCAGGAGACCGCGCTGGGCAGCGGATGAGGTGGGGAGGCTGTGGCCCAGGGCACCTCCCCCCCGGCTTCCCTAACCCTGCCCGGTCCCACCCGAGGGGGAGGATGGAAACACCAGCCGCGCTCTGAGACCCTCAGGAAGATAACACCTTTCCCGCCTTATCACCCCGCGGTCCTGCGGAGACCACTGCCTGGTCCCTTCCACGTCTCCATCTCCCACAGAGGGGCCGAGCAGAAAAACGAGCAATGGCGGAAATTCTGAGGAAACTGGTCTCCAACGAAGCTTTACGATCGATGCAGGACAAGCTAGAGTCCTGGCTGAGGGAGTACAACGTGAGTTAGGGTGGGAGACCCCGGGCCCTCCCTCCCTCTAGTTCCTGGCACACACAGCTGTCGGAGGGGGTATCTTAGGGCTGGCGTCGGGGTGGCCGCCTTGCAAAGTCCCAGCGGTTGTGATTCCTAACGGAGACCCAGCCTCAAACCGGGATCGCAGGGGAGGAAGGACACGCGCATGCGTGTGCCTGTGTTTCCCCGCTGCGCGAGGCGGCGCTGGGGCTCCGCGGCGGGCCTCAGAATCCAGGACCAGAGAGCGCCTTCCATCCAGCGGTAACCAAGGACGCTGGCGGCCCTAGCAACGGGAAAGACCTCCGATCCACCACGGTTCTGGTCCAGCCTGCCACTCTCCCTCACATCCCCTCCGCCAGCAATCTACCCCTTCACCCCCAATTCGAGGTTTTTTTTTTTGCTACACCCCTCCTCCTGCCTTTCGCAAATCTCCCACTTTGAGGATACCCAGTGGTTGCATCAGAATGGATTTTTGTAAAAATACATCCAGGAGTTAGTACCTAGATGTCAGTGAAACGGATGCTTGTTAACGTTGCGGGTTTCGCTTGTGTGCTGGTTAGCATGGCAAATAGTTTCAACACCAACGCAGATTTCAGAAGGCCCGTTGCCAAGGCATTTGTAAGAAGCCAATATTCTGTCATCAAATCCGTAGCCGCTCTTGAAGTCTCATTAATCCCTACCTCACTCTGGTTGCGTCCGCCTTTAATAGGAGAGTCCCACTCTTACACAGCAAGTAGAACAGTGAGGCAGACAGAGCTGAGGACTGGGAATCAGCCCCTCTGTGTTCTAGGTCTAGCACTGCACAGAACCAGCTGAACAACCTGGGGCAGCACCTCGTCTGTTAAATGGGAGAGCCTGGACTAGATGATAGGCAAAGCTCCTTTTCGGATCTCAGTTTTTTGAGTCTAGATCAACTTGTTTCTGAATTTCTACCCGGAAAAATGCAACTGGCTGCTGTCCTGAGTCCTTGGGCTTTCCCCTTCACCCTTTACACGGGGCTCCTGTGGTGCAGGGGAGCTCAGAGGACAGCTCCAGTTTTCTCCCTAGCCTTCTTTTCTAGAGTTTATCCCATTTGCCCACTTTTAAGGCACTGACTATTCCTTCTCTATCAAGATTGCAGGAAAATTAAAAATTACCTCTTTATCACAAAAGACTTGGGTCCTCTTCCCCTTTAAAAGTGACTACTTGCTGCTTAGTCTCAGAAGGTTGAGAATAACAGATTCTAACACATGTATTCATCCTTCTTAAAACTACCTCTTACAAAAAAGTTTCTTATTGCCCTTTGGCATAAACTCTGAATTTTAAAGAGTATACTCAGTTTGTCACAGGACAACGTTTAACACAAATGACACCAGTATTTGGCAATCAAATTAAATGATTGTTTTAGAAACTACCTATAAGTACTGAGAAATGCCAAAGTTTATTACACTTTCCCTTCTTGATGACAGTGGTCCATCCCATTCCTCTCTTCTCACTGAAACCATTTCTATCTACCTTCTCTCCTGCCATTCCCCCAGCATAGTAGAGACTGCATCGTCAGAGACCAATCCTTTCCAAGTTTTGCGGCCATTTCCTGGGCACCATCATTTCTCTTTAGCTATCTAGCATCTCTCTTGTATTTGGCTGTTGATACTGGCAATCTTCTAAGGCTCTGATGATCTGTTCTTCATCTTCTTGCCTTACCCACTTCCCTCTTGTGGCTGTTCTTCAAGGACCAGACTGTAGGAAACTTCTCTTCAACCTCCATTTCTGCCTCATCTCTGTCACGTATGCTGATGAATCTCATACTCATATTCACGTTCAGGGCCTGTTCTCAACTGAGCTCTGATTTCTCCAATTGCCCATCAGAGATTTTTAGTTGTGCTATTGCCGTCTCAAGGTCAAATCCATCTAAAACCAACCTTAGCCTCTCCTGTGTCCCAACCGGTGACCTCTTTCCTTTCTTGTCTTTGTTATGTCTCCGCATCCTTTTCATCAGCATGATCTGTTGGTACCAGGTTCTAAATTCACACAGAACCTCAGCACTTCTCACCAACTCCACTGCTGTCACTCTTGTCCACCTTCGGTCATCTTTCATCTGGATTATTACAAAAATAAGAACCCAAAGTGATTCTCTAAAGTCAAGTCAGATCAAGTTACTCCTCTGGCAAAACCCTCCAAACCTCCTATCTCAGAATAGAAGACAAAGTTCCTACAATGGCCATCAAACTCCTACATGATTGTGCTCCTTTAAACTATGACCTCATCTATAATTCTCTCTCTTGCTCAACCCACTCTAGCAATACTGGCCTTGTTCCTTCTAGAGCAAAGCTGTCCAGTAGAACTTTCTTTGATGATGGATATGCTCTGTATCTGCACTGTCCAATATGGTGGCTTATTGGGAGTTTGAAATGTGGCAAATGCAAACTAAGGAACTGAATTTTTAATTTCATTTCTGTTTTGTTGATTTAAATTCAAATAGTCACATATGGCTAGTGGTGACTGTAGTGGACAGAACGGTTCTAGAGCATGCCAGCCGCGTTCCAGCTTCAGGACATTTTGTACTTGCTGTTCCCCTCTGCCTAGAAAGTTTCACCTGTTGACATTTCAGCAAGATGGCAACACCCTCACTTCCTCAGCTCTTTCAAGTTTTTGCTTAAATGTCACCTTCTCAGGAGAGACCATCCTGTTTTCAATTGCAATCTCTCACCCTCACCTCTGGCACTCACTGTCTCCCTTCTCTGCTTTATTTCTTCCCTAATATCTACACCTTCTAATTTTTACTTATTTACTCTTTTATTTTGTTTGTTTTCAGTCTTCCCTCCCCGCTCCTCTCACTAACATGTAAGCTCCAAAGAGGAGAGATTTCTCCTTTTTTCTGCTCATCACTCTATTCCCAGCACCTTGGCTTCTAGTAGTTGCTCAATAAATAATGATTGACTGAATGCCACCACCATTCTCCCAGATACCCAGTTTTGTAGACTCATTTCTCTTCTTAAAACTTCATATCCAGTTAGAATTTAAAATGATCTCCAAGTGTCTTTAATTCAGCCTTTATTAAAATTGAATTGAAACCAGAAGCCACGATTTACAATCAGGGGCACAAACGAGATAGTGCAAGTGTCTTTAACAGTTTTCTGTGAAGCAAAGGAGAGAGGAAGAGAAAATGTCTATTCACTGCCTACCCAAATTTAGGTTGCATCTAAACTTATTCCATATCTTGTCATCTACAGTTTGAGTTTGGTCAATTGCTAAGAGCTTTCCTCTTAGCAATGGTGGTTTTATTAGTTCCAAGGACTTTTGATTTGAAACCTTAAGACAAAGAATGTTCATTGTAGCAAACGGCATTTGTTAAAATGTTGATCTCAGAGAACTATGTTCATTAAAAGCTGTAAGTCATGTTTGCTATGGAAGGTTGACTTTGCTGACTGTGACCATATTGATTTAGTTCTAACTAACTCAAGCAAAAGAAAGGCCATACACACTTTTAGAATTAGCTATGTGATTAAAGTTACCCCCCTGGGAAAAAGTTATTTTCAGGTAAAATAGATAAATGACCTGAACAGATTGATTCTAAAACAGAATGCAAAATTTTGATTTTCCTCCAGACTAGATGTTATTTGGATTAACAGATCTTATTTAGTTTTGTTCTAAGTTTTTCTCATATAATTTCCTTCTTATTCCTTCCCATCTCCTCTGCCTTAATCTGGCCATCACCACCATCTCATGCACCGCCTGTTTCATTGTATCCTACATATGTTGTCAGAGACCGTAAATTCTTTAAAAACGTAATTTTCTGCTGCAAAGCCTTTGCTTTTTGATTATTTGTTGGCTTGTTTTTAATCTTAACAACGTCTAGCAATCTTCTAGGTCCCAAGTAAAACTACTTCTGGCTTGATTTTTTTTTTTTTGAGGAAGATTAGCCCTGAGCTAACATCTGCTGCCAATCCTCCTCTTTGTGCTGAGGAAGACTGGCTCTGAGCTAACATCCGTGCCCATCTTCCTCTACTTTATATGTGGGACGCCTCCACAGTATGGCTTGCCAAGCGGTGCCATGTCCGCTCTTGGGATCTGAACCGACAAACCCCGGCTGCCGAAGCGGAACGTGCGCATTTAACCGCTGTGCCACCAGGTTGGCCCCATGCCTTGATTTTTAAATAATTTATTTACTTAAAATTTATTTATTTAAAAAATTCTAAGAAGGGACATTTTTCAAAACCCCCCTAGACAAACAAATCATAAAAACGACAGCAAACATGGCTGACTCATTTTGTTTTCGTTATTAAAGAGATGCTGAATTATTGCATTACTTGGCCTTTAAAACTTGGATCCCACCGGAAGTTCAGGGACAGCTTGGAGTGACTACTTAACTTTCAGAAATTGTTTTCCTCCTTTGCAGTTATTAAGAATGCTGGTGAAAGAGCCATAGAGAATCCCTTCTTGTTCAACCCAAAACTGAGCCAATTATTAAGAGCTTAATAATTCACTCAACAAATGGCTACTTAGCTTCTACTATGGCTAAAACTTTGGGTTAGACACTCTATATTTACCATTTTTGCAGTGTACATTTATTCATTAATTTATTCATTCAACAAGTATTTTTTCAGAGCTTACGATGCCCCTGTCTGTCCTGGGTGCTGGGAATAGAAATGTCAGCTGCATCTCAATAATGAACTTCCAGTTGGAGAAGAGAATGAAGGATAGAGGAAACAGCATGTGCGAAAAGCAGGGAGGCATGAAAAATCTGGCATATTGGGGATATTTGTGAATAGTTCAAGTCAGGGAGTGGACATGAGATGAAGCTGAGGAGGTGGGGCGGTAACGCTAGATGGTGAAAGCCTTGCGGGGTGTGAAGGAGTTTGGACTTTATCCTGAGGGCAATGGGGAGAAACTAAAAGCATTATGCAGGGAGGAGATATGTTTAGATTATGTTTTAGAAAGTTTGCTCTAGCTGTTGCATGACGGGAAACTCTCGGGAGAACCGACTGGGCTGAGCGATACTTTAGGCA